CGGGGAAAGGAGACCAAGAGAGGCGGGACGGAACATTTCTAAGGCCATCAGCGGGTGGTCATAACTGTCATCTCCAGTGGGTACAAATGGACAGTGGAGCCCCACAATGCATGCAGACAGACATCTGGTTGCTCGTACCACACATAATTCGTACACACATACGGTCGGCTAGTTCTAGCTATACATGCATTTCTAGTACCGTTGGGCCTCCCGTTAAAGCACTCCGGAGTGTACGGTCATATACACAGTGCAGAAAGATATACTGAATCACAGGTCAGCAGAATACAGTACAACAATGAAACGCATAGTGGATAGATTCGAGATAACAGTGAACACAACAGACAGCTTGGAAACAAATTCCGAACCCTCATGGGTCGGGACAATGTAACACAAGTAAACGGTTGATTCTCGGCGTATGCCAAACGTCGTCCGTTAGACCACACCACGCGGGACGCACCCTAGGCACACAGGCAGGCAGGCAGATAGACAGACAAACAGACAGACAAATAGCCTGACTGACTGACCCACAGATAGCCAAACAGACAGACAGTACTAGACATCCTTCGGCTTGGTTTGCGCAACGACTGGTTTAACTCTAGCACCGTTTTAGGTCCAATATCCAGCATATTGAGACGGGGCACTCCTGAAGCTGATGGGAACAGTCTAGCAGCTTAACTTAATGGAGTTCTCTTCAGATGGCCTGAGGGTTACATGATCAAGACTACCAAACCAGAATACAACCGTATAGTGTTCTGTAGGTAGCCATGATTCGATTTCGTTCCGTCCACACGATGAAGGTAGCCAAAAGCTACTTCTGTTACTATCGCGGACTTAGCATGCCGAAATTCTCGGTATGCCAGTGCAATTCAGTAGATTTTTGGAGGTAGGTCTTCCCCCAGTTGTCCTGATTCAGACCGTAAAGTTAGAGGCTAAGGAGTAGGTAGCCCCTACCTATAGGCTAAGTTGTCGGAAAGCTCTACATCTCCACGCATGATGTGAACCATCTTAGTTTCTTAAAAAAGGCTAGCACGTCCTCCATGACATGGAACCTGGGAACTCCTCGGATTAATGAAGGGGAAGACAGATCTGAAAGACGAACTGCTCTTGTGGCTGAATAACTCAAACACTACAGGACAGTCCCCGTTGCATTCAGTGAGATTCAGCTGGCAGATCATAGAGAGTTAAGGGAAGTTGGCTTCAGTTTTACACAACGCGAGAAAACCGACGTCAACATTATGTCAGACTAGCGGTTTCGTTCGCACCGTGATAGGATCGGTATTGTAGGTCACCAGCGTACTCATCAGCTAGGGATAATCACCGCGGTAAGTTTGTCTCCTCAGTCAATGAGTAACTGCCCGGTATTGCACTCCTAAGGATGAGGATGTCGCTAGTGGCAGGGCCAATGGAGTACCGTCGGGTTGGCCGTTACCATTTCATTGAGGTTGTGTTAATTGACGGCTCTCGGCGAACGGTGTGATACTGAAGGTGCGGCACTGTGCTGGAACTTGAAGGAACTGATGAGTGACAATGAAATCCCGATAAAACCAGGCAACTGGTATGAATGCCCGTTCTACCATCAGGTATGTACAAGTCGACGGTTACAGCACGTTCACCTGTCGATCTCATTACATTTTATTCAAACGATTCTCAAAACCGTACCGTCACTTGGTCTTTGTAGTAACACGTCCAAAAAGCTGCCTGATGATTCTTTCCCATTTCAGACGTAAAACTCAGGTTCTTGAATGGCATGGCTTTTTGTGAATTGTTCGTAATGGCGCAGCTGAAACATATTGCAGAGATCACCAACGTATCTCTCGGAGATTACCTTATTTTGAATTGCCGCTGCCCCGGATAAATCTAGGTGAGCCATGAAGATTTGCCAGAACAGTAGGCGTCCCACCGGAAAGCCGTCAATCCGCCTATTGTACCGACCATTGAACCGGATTTGTAGAGGTAGTGCGCAGATACGGAAAGCTCCTCAGGTTTGGTAGATTCAAGTATAAACCATGAGTGCCACAGGGATCACTAACGAACTGGACAGCTTTCGTTATTGGAACCTGATGTTTACATCCGAAACAGAATACCATTGAATACCGTTCTTCGGGCGTCGTACTAGAGACGCAGGATAGCATTTCGGTTTCGATGTGTTTCCAATAGATCAATGCGATTAGACCATCGGATTTACTTTGAAGCCTTCGTTCCGACTTGACACAAAGGAGTTTAGTTAGAAATCTATTCCACAGGACGCATCTAACATAGTTTACTCAGAAAGCGCGGCGAGATCTGGACAAAATGAAATGTTGCTTGACCTGTAGAGAAGTACGCCACGTCTCCCGTTTTTTTGTCGTGAATTCCATTCCTTCGCCTTTGAAAAGTAATAATACTAAACAATAGTTATTATTTTCATAAAGGAAACTACTCACATGGTTGCTGAAAACGATTCGACAGCCCACGACCGGTTTCGCCCTTCTTGGGGATTATCAGGTAGGCGCAGTCCCCGGGTTCCATTAACCTTATGTTCTACTTGAACCCAAATTGCACTGTTTTCGAGAAATACACTCATTTGCAAATCAATTTGGTTTTCACGAGAGACTCAACTGAATCTCTCGTTTATGAATATCGTTCCAACTGAATCATGAGGCGGCCTGTTTGCAGCACATTCAGCTGTAGAATATCATAAACGAGAGATTCAATTGAGTCTCACATGAAAACCAAATTGATTTGCAAATAAGTGTATTTCTCGAATAATTATGATTATTTGAAAATAATAGCGTCTGCTCCGTAATCAAAGGTAAACTGAAGGTTGTATTTGCCCAAACGTATTGTGCTTCCAAATGGACATTCATGGTGGAGACAACTCGTACCCCATACGTAGAAATCCAAGGTCTTACGCTAGCGTTGGCCAAAGCCAACGTTGTTTACAGTTTAACACGCATCTGTGCATCCAGATACGCCGCTCGGATGATGAAGCACCTGTTCAGTCGGACTTCCGAACAAGTTCCGCGAGGATGCTGTTCAATCGGCCAAGACAAAACATCTAGTGGAAACCAAGCATAGACTACAACGAGCTAGTACAACCACGGTTCGCACCTAGTTCGTATGTAGCATAATCTGGCAAAATCGAAACTTCAGTCTTACACCATGCTGCTTCGGTGACAATTTCCTTCTCACCTTTCCCTTTGTTTGTGAACTTGATCCAGTCGCCTAACCGTACCGCACGCTTGCGGCATCCTTCCTCATTCAACCTGCTTGCCTACATCCAATTTTATCCCCAGCAATATTCCATTAAGTGACACGTGACAGATAATCAATCTCCGTTGAAGTTGACAACCCCCGATCTTGGTAGACCAAGCTAAAATCGACCTTACCTACGAGCGAACAGCTAAATTATGAGACCATACACGCTTTAGCATTTTGTGTTCCCTACAACTATTGTGTTGCTATTCGCCCTGCTGATGCTGTAAACCATAACTTGGGTCTTACCACACGCATTTGATTTTTTCCCATTGTTCGGTATATGATGGATGTTGGGTAACCCATACCCCTCACTGTCTCAAATCGCTACACTGAGGGAACGTCCTCCGTAAAGTTCTCCGAGAGTGGTCGTACTAGGAGGAGAAGGGGACGTAAACAGTAATGCGTAATAGTAAATACTGAGTCACGGTGCGTTACTTTACCTCATGGTCAAGTTCCATCACATAAAATCCAGACGCACAGCCTGCATATCAGATATCCAGGGTTCAAATCCCGGGCATGGCCAACGGAACGCACTCCTGATGAGCTCCTATGGGAACAAAACCGGAGTCCTGTGCTTCTTGTTTGGTTCGGACTAAAAAATAACTACCACAGGATAGGACGAGTGTACAGACGAGATTCATATGAGTTCTAAAAGTCCCACAAATAACTACCCAAAACCAGCACTTGAATCGTAAGCTACTTCAACACGTCCAAGGACAAAGTAACTCAGGCTGTAACGGGACCAAGAATAATCAGTGATTATGGTATTGGTCACTTAGACCAATAAATAGAGAATTACTTTTGGAGAGCATATAAGTCAGTTAGGCCTACTACCTCAAAAATGGCGAGGAACAATGGATGACTCGAATAAGCGAAAACTTTTTGATGGTGAGTGTGAAAAGATATTGTAGAAGAAATCAAACGTCATGGCTGCCTTACCCTCATGAACTTCATGCCACGGTTCATATAAAACGTGTGTTAGGGAGCCCCAGTTGGAGCGTAGAATGCTTCTGGTCTACTATCAAGAAACCCGTAGTGATTGTCATAGTTTGGACACTGTTCACGTTCAAACTATGTAGCAGGTGTGTAATTAAGCGGTGCGCGAAAGAATGGAGGCGAACTGAGATTAACCTTTTGCACTGAATGTCTCGCCATGCAGTCCGAGTTGCAGAGAGTGGATTTAATCTGCTTATTCGATGGAACTGTTAAATGTAATAGACTGTGTGAGACACTTCCTGCCAACGACCTATTTTGTTGCTGGGATCTTGCGTTGGCTACAATGACCTCAAGTGCTGGGTGAACGGACCGGTTGTTTCTCTGAGGCACCGCTCTCGAAAGACGCTGAACTCTCGCAGGCAAAATCATTTAGTTCTATCAAGCAGGTTCGCTAGCTTGAAACATTCGCATTTGGTAGGTTCATTTTTACAACGCATATTAGTATTCCGAAGAAACGTCCCATAGATGTTTCATTTGACTATAAATGATGAGGTTTTCAAGCGAGAGATTCAGCTGGGTTTCAGGCGAGTATCCAACAAAACCAAATTGGTTTGCAACTGAGTGTATTTCGCCAAGTATCGAGTATCGTACCAAATGAAACATGAGGCAGCCCGTGTGCAGCACATTCAGTTGTAGCACAACATAAACGATCGATTTAGTTGAGTCTCTCGTGAAAACCAAATTGATTTGCAAATGAGTGTATTTCTCGAAAACAGTCCAATTTGGAATGTGGTACTCATAAGGTTGCTGAAAATCCGTCGACAGCCCACGACCGGTTTCGGCAGCACATTCAGTTGCCTGAGAACATCACAAACGAGAGATTCAACTGGGTTTCGGGTGAGTCTCCCGCAAAACCAAATTAGTTTGCAAATGAGTGTATATTCGCTAGTTCAATTTGGGTTCAAGTAGAACATAAGGTTAATGGAACCCGGGGACTGCGCCTACCTGATAATCCCCAAGAAGGGCGAAACCGGTCGTGGGCTGTCGAATCGTTTTCAGCAACCTTGTAAGTAGTTTATTTCACGAAAAAATAACCTAATTTGATAACAAGGCCCGTACAACCCGTACAAGAACAACTCGACGAGACAGATGTCTAATGTGCAGATTACAGAGAGAACAGGCGCGATTCAAGATGTAGTATGAACACTACAAAAATATCATGACAGAAAAAAAATGCACACAAAACCTACGATTTGAATAGCAGCGATTCACAGTACGTCTACCGTGGTAAACAACGGATTTGAAAAAAAGGACCAGGAGCAGTGTTACAAAGAAAACAACTCAAGAATTTAGTTCACATGCAAAAATGGGAGAGAAGGAACATGAATTGTTGACTCATTGTTCCATTGCACCGAGACCTGCCATCATAGCTATGCCACCGACCACGGCAAACACTTCAATTATGCTCTGGGTCATCCGAGCAAGAAACCCGCTTGATCGTTTTGACGCAATCTCATCGGGGCTCAGCAGGTCTGGAAGTACCGAGGTCATGGCGATATAGATGAATCCTCCAGCAGTGAATGGTAGTAAGTAAGTGGTGATCAAGTCTTCCGTAAGAAGCGGTACATCAAACTTTACGCCCACCTGATCCATGCCAACGCCGGCAGCTGCAAGGCTCAAGAATGATCCCAAGGCTGCTCCAATAGCTGTGAACAGTTGTAAAAACATGGCCTGTTGGGGACGAGAGAGAAGAACATCCGTTACCACAAACTAACGCCGGCAAAGGCTCAAGAATGATCCCAAGGCTGCTCCAATAGCTGTGAACAGTTGTAAAAACATGGCCTGTTGGGGACGAGAGAGAAGAGAAGCCGTTACCACAAACTGAACCTAAGTTTGCATCAAAATTCATATATATATATATATATATAGTAGTAAAACACCAAACCGGTATAATGTGAAGCAAAGGTGAGTGAAGGAGGCATCTAAGAATCCTCTGAGCAACGGAGAGGAC